TTGAGTCAGTTCCGACTCATAGCGACCCTGTATATGGCTTCCAAGGAGTGGCTGGTGAGGTTGAACTGCCGACCCTCTGGTTCAAACCAACTCTGCTGCACATTAACCTGCAGCACCACATCAGGACTCCCACTAATACCTATGGTAACAATATTTATAAGTTTCATTTTATTTGTAACGACTTGCAGCTTTCCTAGACTTATATTTTGTACATTTCACATTCTAATTATTAATGAGTTTTTACAGAAATTTCTTCTCATTTTGAGTCATGCTTCATCAGCAAAGGAAGGTCCCAAAAGCTTTACTTCATCCACATCACTAAGGTTGATCCTGCTTTGGGAAGGCAGCTTTTCCCCATCATATTTTGAGTGCCTTCCAACCAGATGGACTTATTTGCTGGTACTATATCAGACAATATTCCACTTCTCTTCATAAGGTTCTCAGTAGTAATCTTTCAGACGTGGTCCACCTCTTCTTCTTCCTAGTCTTTCATATTCTGGAAGCTTCACTGAAACATGTACAGAATGGGTTATCCTGAAGTATTTGAAATACCAGTGGCATAGCTTTCAACATCACAGCAACAAGCAAGCCACAGCACTAATACTAACTGAGAGAGTATACATAGAGTATACATGTATCATCTTGGGTGAAGGGAAAGGTAATAAACAGTAAGGGAAAAGTCAGCACAACATCACCAAGTAAAAGGAATACACTGGGAGGTACACAAGAGTAAAAGGCCACAATGGTAAACACTATTACATACAATAAAAGTAATAACAAACAATAGTTAATGAATGAATACATACGTAGATATGAAAGCTGAATAGGTATAGGATGGTGTATGGAGTACACTCAGGAATGTGTGTATATACACAGATAGATATGTATATATGTGCATGTGTGTGTAAATATATATACATACACATATACTTGTTAAGGGTCGTCAGTCAGTTCCAACCCATAGCAACCTTATATAGGGTTTCCGAGGAGCAGCTGGTAAACTTGAACCACCTACCTTGGTGTTCACACTGACTTTGCAGGACTATATATGTGTGTGTGTATGTGTGTATATATATGTGTGTGTGTGTATTTGGCAGAGGATATTTCTACTTATGTATTTGTAAATGTTTCAAATAGCTCCATGTATACAGTAGAACATACAGGATGTCTCTGAAGACAGAAATCCTTGGAAAAGTCAGAGAAAAGAAAAGAAAAGATTTCCCCAACAAGATAGCCTGACACAGTGACAGCAACAATGGGCTCAAACATAACAAAAACTGCTAGGACTGGGCAGTATTTCATTCTGTTATGCATACGATAGCTATGAGTCAGAATCAAGTCAATGGTACCTAACAACAACAGCACGGTGCAAAGTTAATGAACATTTCCTAGCCATAACCAAAACCTTCAGGGACAGAATCACTCAGGTTGGAACCATAGTTTTGGGGATATTTACATCAACTGGCAAAATGAAATCCAGAAGAAAATGTTCTATATCCTACTTTGGTGGGCAAGGGATGAGGTCTTTAAAGCTTGGGAATGACCATCTAAGATGCAACTATTGGTCTCTGCTGTCCAGAGCAAAGACGAGTGAAGAAAATCAAAGACTCAAGGAAACAATTCATTCAATTCTGGACTCGTCTAGTCTGAGACCAGAAAGCAGAACCAGAAAGAAAGTAGATGGTACTAGGCTATCACTACTGAGTCTCTGATCAGGATCACAACAGAAGGCCATGGACAGAGTAAAAGAAAAATGTAGATCAAAATTGAAAATTGTAAAGAAGGCCATGTTTACTGATCTGATAGAGGGGCCTTATAAATATTTCAAATCTGGAACTGAACCCATCTCTAGGATCAACTTTCAGCCAAATAGACCAGCCTGTAAAGTAAACAAATAATACCTTTTAGTGATGTACTTCTCAGAACAATCAACCAAAGAAAATGAAAAGGACAGCATTTGCCCACAAACAAAGTTCAGAGGCAAGAAAGGGCAGGAGAGAAGAATAGGTAGAATGAGAAACCCAGGGAGGAAGACAGAAGACTGCATTTACTTTAAGGGACCTATAATAACTATGACTAATGTCACAAAGCAAACTGTGGCTAAATGGTTGAATGGTGCACTGATTTGCTCAGTACACATTTACCCAAACCACAATGCCGTGGAGTCGGTTCCGAGTCACAGCTGCCCTGCACAGGGTTTCCAAGGCTGTAAATCTTTACGGGAGCAGAACACCTCATCTTTCTCCCATGGAACAGCTGGTAGTTTCGAACTGCTGACCTTGCGGTTCACAGCCCAATTCGTTATCACTACACTACCAGAGATCCTTAAACCACAATAAGATGTTACAAAAAAAAGAAAGAAAGGAAAGTGGCCAACTTTCTTTAAGCCCTTATAAGATAAATAAGCAATTACAGAAGGACAAATCCAAATGATCAACAAGGACATGGAAAGATGATCAAATTCATTAGTAATCAGGAAATAAGTAAATTGAAAAATGACAATGATACCAATTGATATCCATTAGACTGTCATTAAATGAAAAAGTAGTAACACTTAATTCTGGCAGCGAGGTAGGGGGAAGATTATGTAGGAAATGCTGATATACTAACTTAAAACAAATATACATATATACATATGTACTGATTTATGGAAAGACATTCTTATAATTATAAATTTATAGTTAGATGAATTTAATCTGAGTAAAATAATAAACTGTAACAGATTGTGTTAGGAAACTAACATTTTAAAATAATATATAAAACTCATTAAGATCAAATATTTTTAACCTATTTTACCAAGCCTTGGATTAAAGCTATACTTTACAGTATTAAATCTTAGCTCCTTATGTAATAGCTTGGAGTATGAATCTGGAGTTACAAACTGTGAGTTCAAACTCTAGATCCACCAATAGAGCCAAAAGTCCTATAATGGTTTTTAACTTCTTCAAATCTTGATCTCCTCACTGGTCAAAGGATAAGCACAGAAATGAATGCTTATGTGTTCTTATTGCTTGGCAAGAATGAAAGACCAAGACTTGAATAAAGTGCATAATGAAGAATCAAAGTACAAATAGTCAGAAAATCCCTAAATTAAACAACAGAAAATCCCTAAATTAAACATCTTTATCAAACATCTTTATTTCCTTTCTAAGAATATAGAAATATTATTCTTACATGAATAGGTATGCAATATCATGGGGCCTTAAGGTAAGATAGGATTGTTTCCATGCTAAAAATCTTTGCAATAATTGATCTGCCTCACCAACTGTAGAAATCTTACTTCTATCTGACCACAATTCCAATGATGACAGCACAATAGTAACTTTAAATTGGGTAAAAATCTAAAAACAAAAGAGACAAATGCATGCATAATTAATCTTGTGTCATATTATTCTACAAATTAATTCAATGTTTTGATAAATCTATGCTCAGTTTGCACAAATAATGTAATTATTTAGAAATGCCAAGTTAATCAAATTACAACTTCAAAAGATTTTTTCTAAGTAATATGAAAAGGAAAATACTTACTGAATTTACAAGGCCAATAATTTCGATGACTTTATTTGCTACAATTGTATTATCAGAGCCCAAGTAATCATACTGAAAAACATAATTAAGTTTAAAATGAAATTTGTTAGGTAATATTTTTGACATTTACTCTTTATATACACCCAGAAGATTTGAAGCTGCTATGGAATAGAACTGTCCAATAAAGACACAAACAAATGAGTATAAACTGATTTTATTGGTGGCAATATCAGACAGTATGTTGCTGTTGTTAAGTGCCAACAGTCAGTTCCTACTCATAGCAACCCTGTATAGGGTTTCTGAGGACCAGCTTGTTGGTTTCAACTTTTCACCTTGTGGTTCACAGTCCAGTGCCAACCCTAGAGTTCCACTCCAAGAGTCCATCAGATAGTATAGCCACTCTGAAAAATACTTTATGACTTTCATTCATAACAACAATAGACTTATCATATCATTCAGCAGTTGCACTCCTATGCATTTACCCACATATAAAAACTAATGTCCACACAAAAAACTGTACACAAATGCTTATAGCTACTCTGATAATAGGCTAAAACTAGAAACAATTCATGTGTCTTTCAATGGAATGAACTATTAATACATGAAACAACAAATGTTCAAGAATATCATTATCCTAAATGTAAAAATGAT